AAATTTTTCAACAAATGAACAATAAATAATTCAAATAATACAATAAATAATACAAATAAAAAATAAGTGATACGTTATAACCTATTAAATTAAAAAACAAATAATTAAATAAGTATATAAAATCAATCAATTCAACAAAATCCTTCTTTATATCCTTAACATTAATAATATGATATTTTAATATATTTTCTTAGCATTGAATTAATTTTTGATAGATTTGCATTATATTAAACTAATTATAAAAAAAAATATCACCGAAAAATATCTTGTAATTATAAATAAATCATCAACATTGATCAGCTTATAATCATTTATAATCTATTAAAAAAATTGAATTTAATTTTTCTTGCACATTGTCACACTTTAGCAGCAGAATTTTGTTTAAATGTTTGTATTCCTGATTGCAAAGTTGAATGAATGCATGTATCAGCTGGAATTTTTACTAAAGTTGAATAAAAGAATGTTTTTTTCTCATTTTAATGATAAGCAGATTTTATTAATAGATACGATATGATTATATGTACTTTATGATTATTTTTCACAATAACTCATAATATATGATTATATTTTATGATCAAAATGAAGTTTTAATAAATTCAAAATATCAAAATATAAAAAGACTATGCGCATGAAAAATTCATCATATACATCATAATGAATTTGGAAAATCCATGAAATGTCATAGCCAATAATACTATGGATAATATCTTCAAACTTAAGAAGAATTTACGACACATAATATTTATTATTATTTTTGAAAAATTTTTTAAAAATATTTTCCCCACTTGTGTGACATAAAAAATAGGAAAAAACATATCATAAATCTTTGAATTTTCAATCATAATTATTATTGATAATTTCTAGTGCAATAAATAATAGACACAATCCAAAAAAAAAAAATTAAAAAGTGATACAATTCCATTGAAACATGCAAGTGGTTTAAGATTAAAAATTGTTTTTAATTTGATTACATTATATTCAATCCTAATCATCCGAGATTATTGATTCAAATGTTGAAAATATTTTTTCTGGCTTCTAAATCTAAAATAAGGAATATTAAACAATGAATAGTATTTTTGTGAATAGTATTTTATGCATTAGATAAATATTAAATATTTTTTAAGACACTTGGCTAAAGTGCAATGCAAGTTTGAAATGATATGTTCCAGCTTCAATCAACTTCTTGACGAAGTTTATAGTAAACATACGCTAATTAGAACATGTATTTTTGTACAACACTCATCTTAAGCCTAATTCAAGAAATTTTTCCTAGCCTTCTTAGAATATCATTATTTAAAAAACTGATCCGTGATATTATTAGCTAATATTATGTATATCATGAAACTTCCAAATTTACTATGGAGAGATTTTCTGTAGAGCTTTTAACATGAATTTAATATGAATTTAAAGTTTGTTAAAACTATGTCATATTTTGATCATCAAACACGATCACATTGTGAATCATTGTTCATTACTCAATATCAAGATGAGAAAACTCCACTATCTTTTTATCTTCGGTCAGAGATTCTAACCGAAATAATGTTCATCATTGTTCCATCATTCAATTTTCTATAATACAAAGATTTAAACAAAAATGCTTAATGCTAAAATATAACAATGAGAAAGAAAAATTAAATTCAATTTTTTTATTGAATTACAAGTAATTGTAATTGATTAATGATATACAATGATACTACAATGAAGTGAATAATAAATAGTTGATTCAATAATACATTGCTTTCGTGTATGTTACTATTCGCTAATATTTTATCTGTAATTAATCTGTTAAGAATTATTATTAATTCAATATTAAGGACGGATATTATCATTAAAAAAAAAATATTTCAAAAGAATGATTTTAAAGTTCAAATTGAATTTTCAGTAAATAATTTGATCTATTTATTTGCTTAATTGTTTTTTAATTTAAGATTTTTATTTATTTTTTTATTTCAAATATATATATTATTTATCGTTAATTTATTAGAAAATTTTTATATTTATTTTTATTTTATTTTTATATTTATTTTTATATTTATTTTTTTATTTCATATTATTCATTTTTAATGAAAAATAAATTCGATTTATCGTGTTATACAAATAGTAATTAATTAATTTATTCATTTTTTTGAATAAGATATAATTCGATATAATTTTTTGTCATTAAGAAATATTTATTATATTCAATATATTTTCTTCGATATATTGAAGTTTAATTAAGCTTGTTCGTACCAACAGCACTTAGTTAACACGGCTCGATTAGTCTATTTCGTGATTAGTATTAGTGATTAGATATAGTAATTATTTTTTGTTAGTAATTTAATAATAAAATCGAAAATTTTGCAAAGGAAAATATTGCTTGAAATTATCTCAAGAATTTCCAATTAATAAGTGTATCTACTTTTTGAGAATTCTATATAAATTATCTTTTTTAATAATAATAAAAGAAAAAGAAGATAAATTATAATTTATATTTTTATCAAATTTAATTTATTTATATGAAACATAAATTCAACAAAATGATAACATATATAACATATCAATTCTGTTGTTTAAAAAAGGAAAAGTTTCTTATATTTATATTTTTTTATATTTATTATACATTTATATTTTGTATGCTGAATTTGTATCTAACTATCTAAATAACATATCATGAGTTTAGAAAATATGAAAAAAAAGAAATAAATAAAAAATAATATATATATGAATAAAAAATATCAATTTGCAATTATTGAAAATCAAAGAGTATGCTATCATTTTATCGCGAAGAATATATAGTAATATGTAAAAATTGTTGATCATTGATCAAAATATTATTTAATTGTTAAATAATTTTAACAATAATAAATCATACAAACATACAAATCATTTTGTCATATTAAAAATAAATCATAAAACGTACATTTTCATAACACACATTATATTTCATAACACATCAATAACCTGAAAATTTTGATTTTTTTTTACTTTGTAAGCTTGTAAAAAATTTCAAGAAAAGTATTAGATACTTTTTTGATTCTTGAGGATGAAAACATCTCTTGAATGAAATTAATTAAATTAAATGTTATCTTATTTCTTTACGTATTTTTAAAATTTTCTTTATAATAAATACAAAAAAATCTTGTAACAAAAAATGAATAGTTTTTTATGCTTTATAAAATGCAATATTATTATTAATACGATGAAATTAATAAAAATTCTTTATTTGAATAAAAAATTACCATTATTATTGCAAAAAATTTTGAATATTCTATTATGTAAAAAAGATAAATATATTAAATATTTTAAATTTTATTATTAAATATTATTATTAAATTATTACATAATGTGATACTTAAATAATTTTAAATAATTAAATACATGAATTTTGCATTCCTATTTGTATTTTAATAGTATTCTCTTAAAGTATAAAAACTATTCATAATAAAGTATAAAAACTATTCATTTTTTATTATAACTATTTTTTAAAAAATAATTTATAATTATTAAAAAAAAATTACTCCGATATTTTTCTTGAAATCCTTTATAAATCTCTAAAATTTAAAAAAAAATGAATTTTCGAGTTATCGAAATTCTCTTATAAAATCATTTTATAAGATCATTAAAAAATTTCAAATTTTTTCAAAAATGTTTTTATGCTAGAAAACAAGAAAGAAAATGAAAATAATTTTTCTTCAAATTTTTTCAATTAATTTAAAAATTTAGTATTTTTGCAAACTAAGTCATTATAAATTCAAAAATTAAAATATTTGTTTACAACAAATTCTTAAAAGTTGATATATAATGAACATTTTATTTCGAAAACAACATTTTATTTTGAAAAATTATTATATCACTAATATATTAGAATAGTGAAAAAATATAATACAAAGAGATAAATATAATATTCATAAATAATCTTTAACAATTTTCTCTCTTTTTCAAAAAAGCAATTTTTTGTTCTTTAAGAAAAAAATTTTAAAGATTCTATAAGAATTTTCCATTTCCAAATAAATTAAACAATCATTTTCATATAAATTTTTTTCGTTGATTTCGATACTAACTATAATATTCTTTGTATAAGATAGAAAAAAAAGACGCGCGCGCATATATGTGTATTTTATTTAAGAATAATAAAAATAAAAAAAAAAAATTATCAAAAGAGCTTAATTAAATATATTTTTAAAAATAGAATTTAACGATTATTTTGTAGAGTTATAATTTTGATTTATTATATATTTATATATTTTTTCGATATTTTTTAATATATTATCGATAGTTTTTAATATATTAAAAATATCATTAAAATATCATTTAGCAAATCGAAGTGATTTTTATTTTTTCTTATTTAATGTTATTATTAAGGTATATAAAAATGTTTATTATTATTATTTATAATAAATAATAATAAATATAATATTATATAATAATAATTATAATATAATAATAATAATAAATAAAAATAGAGAGACTTTATACTACAAAAACTATATTGTAATATATAATTTAATTATTTAAGCTATTTCTCTTATTGATATGTTAACGATATTTTGAAAATATATGTTAAAAAATTAATGAAATATCATTAGTTCATGCATAATCCTTAATAATATTTTTAATTACTCATAAATAATCTTGCATCACAATATAAAAATCTTAAAATCACTTATTAATCATGTATTTCATAAAATTTATATTTCATCGACGACAGCAATTAAAGAAGTAATATATCAATATTATTGATATTTATCGATATATGCTACTTTGAATTCTAATGGAAAAAATAGAGATGAAAAAATTTTATGATATTCGATTATATGAATTATATAAGTTATTGTTAACATGATTAACATATACTTTTATACTACTATAATAAGAATGATAGTTAAAATTAACTATCTATCAAATAAATGATAATTTTCATTCAACAAATTGTTATTTTAATATTATTTATGATATTATTATAATAATTTTACGAAAAATATTAATAACTAATAAAAATAAAATATTTTGCTTGTACTCACAAATATAGAAATAGTTTTCATTACCTTCCTTATTTCTGCTTTTCTTCTTCTCTTCTTTTTCCTGTCAAACATACAATTTTTAATTCTCTTAGTAAAATGAGTAAAAATTTATTATTTAATATCATAATTATTATATGTGCTTTTATACAAATTGTGAAAATGCTTCGATTCATACAATAATTTTAAAAAATCTAATTGTCTGGATAAATATGTTTCAAAATAATATTGATTTAATAATTTATAATATTGTATTTTTTATTTTCAATTGTGTCAGTATTTTAATTAATACTTATCTTTATAATAAAAAAAATAAAGAAAAATAATAATAAAAATAAATAAAAAATTATATCGTAACAAATATATATATTAATATATTATATATTATTATATATTACAATATAAAAAAATTAATAAATGCTTGATGGTCTCTAACTTTTATAATTTTTAACAAACATACTATGTATTAATATATTCTGATATTATTGTATATTTCTTTTAAAGTGTTAATAAATTTAACTTTCGTGTGAAGTTTTTTTTATGATATTTGTTGATCTAATCCATTAAAAAATAATTCCATTGACTATAGATTGATATTTTATGGCAAATAAAAAAGTTATAATATATTATTTTTCTTTAATATTTTTTAACAATCTTCGAGAAATATTTCAATTCAGCTATATATTTTATTTTTTATTAAATATTATTATCTTTTATTAGAATATCAAAAATTGTAATATATCTAACTTCTTTATCATTAAAATAATTACAAATACAAATTTTATTTAAATTAAAATAATATCAAAAATTATGATATGTCTATTTGTTTACTATTTGTCTACTTGTTTATTGTTAAAACAATCACAAATATAAATTTTGTTTAATTGTGTTTTTTTATTTTCATCATTTCTTCTTTTTAATATAAATTTATATTTAAATTCATAACTCTAAATGATATATTTTCAAACTGATACTAATTATTTATAATATTCTTTAGCAAACTTAATATATATTTATATATATTTTTTTCAGAAATTTTTTTTTAAATATTTGGACATATATCTATTAATAAATGATATTGATAATGATACATTTTCTTTGATTTTTTGAAATTGATAATTTATTTTTTTTACTTTTTTCATATTTCTCATTTTCTCATTTCTTTTTTTCTCTAATTATATTTTCTAATTGATAGATTTCTCTATACTTTTGAAAATCTTTTTTAAAAATTTTCTTTTATTATTCCACAATCAATAATGATTTATTTTTAAATATAAATAAAATAATAAATAAAAATATAAAATAAAGATTTTATATTTTTATAAAGATATTCTATTTTTTTTCTTTAAAAATTTATATTTTCTCTGATATAATTCTTTTGTTTTTGATATATTGAAAAAATTTATAAACTGCTGATATATAAAAATTAACCATATGTAAATTTAATTATGAAATAAAATAATAATAAGTTTGAAATAAATTTTATTTTACGATAATTTACTTTTACTTTTTACTCGAATGACTAAACTTTATCAAAAGTTCCAAAAATTATTATTGTAAATAAAAATTGTCACAATTATTGATACAATTAACGTAATGTTAGTCTGTATACTTTGTGATATTTTTTGAATTAATATTAATACAATGTAAAAAACATCAAAACAATATCAAATCAGAAAAATGATAATAAATAATTTTTTAAAAAATGAATGTTGTAAGTTTGTGAAATATAAATAAGTTTATTTAAATACCGACACAACTGCATTTTTTTGCATAATGTAAACATCAAATTGAAAGAATATGAAATATTATTTCATGCATTAAATATGTAATATCCTAAAACCACTTATCTATCACATAACTTTAATGAATGTTTGTTTATGTTTTCAAATATTTTGCACAATAATAATAATTCATAAAAATATTTATAAACTAATTATGTGATTAGTGAATATATAATTTAAAAATTTTTTGCATAATTATGTATAAGTCATTCAAAAATTTTACCGCAATGAATAAAAATATCGTTTACATTATATCAATACATTGTAAATGAAAAATGATAAATATATTGAACTTTCTCAAATTAAATATATATTTAAAAACAATCTCGAATTGACTTCTGAATGCACAACATCTGTAAATTAGAATATAAAGCAATAAAAAAAAAACCATAAAAAATTCATTTTCATTAATATTGTATAATTTTTGGAAAAAAAACTACAAAATTTAATAATTTTCAAGAAAAAAATTTTAACAATAATTATGAAATTCACCAGTTTTTTTTAGTTTTCATTATTTCACTTCAGTTTTTTTTAAACTTTATTATTATTTTTTTATAACTTTATTATTATTAAATGAAAACAAATTTTACTATTAAAGTAAAAAATCAAACAGAAAAATCAAAAAAATAATTTTTGTCATTTCTAAAAAAAAAGAGTATTACATATGTTAGTTAATAATAATTCTATGTAATTATAGAATTTTGTTTGAACATATTCATCTGTGATAGAGTATAATTAAATATGCGATTATTATTTATTGTTTTGTTAAAAAAAATCATATTGTAACAACAAATAATTAATATATATAACGAAGGAACCAATTAAAAATTTTCTCATTAATGATGATAAACTTGAAATATATCAATTCCAATGATATTCGATATTTTATTAATTCGATATCAAATTAAAACATTTCAAAAATCATTACACTATTTAGTTTCATATTTAGTATCTATTGTTATAACATCATTCATTTTATTTTCAATCACCCAAGAATTATTTTATATTTAATTTTTTCCGAATGATTTCTTGTTTTAATTAAACAAAACTATTTAAAAAAAACTATAATAAAATTATTAAAATTGAGAAAAAATTAAATTGCATAATTACTATTTTAATTAGAAAAAGTCCCAGAAATTTAAAATATTATAAAAATTTTTGGATATGATATGTATATGTAGATAATGTGTATATCATATATACATAAATTCATTTTAAGAAAATAAAAATAATATATAAAAAATTAAAATAATATATAATAAATTGATGCTTGAAAATTTAAATACTTTTTAATTTTGTAATAAAATACATATTATATATATTATAATTATAAGAAATAAAAATTATAATTATAAGAAAAAATTTTTAGACAATAATTACTCATTGAATAATAATAATATTGTGTAAAAAATTTATAAATTATTTATATAATTAGAAAAAAATTACAAACAAAAAAATAAGTATAAAAAGTATAAGTTTTATTATATTGCTTATATTGTTATATTGAATTTTGTTTCTTGATAATTATACAAGTTATATAAAAATTGAAACTTTTAAATCTTGTATGTTACAACAAAGTTTTTTTAATACTTACAAAAATAAAATAATTTATATTATATATTATTTATATAGTATGTATTTTTATATTATGAAACATATACAGTTGTTCACAAAAATATTCTAATATTAATGTATATTTTATTTTAATAATCTATATCTTTATTAATTATAAAAGGAATAAATTTAAACTTGTTTCTGTCTCAATAAATTCTATATATAATATAATGAAATTCTTCAAAAACTATTGGAAATATAAAAATTTAATACACTTATTGCATAATAACATGATTGCTATATATGGAACAATGAAATTGTATGAAATCGTTGCGAAAAAATAAAATTTATTAGATTTTCAAAATTATTTAATTTTTTAACTTTAATATATTCACTTTTATATTGTATTTTCAAAATTATTTAATTTTTTAACTTTAATATATTCACTTTTATATTGTACATAAAATATATTATAATACTTTATATGGCAAAAGTTGATTATGAATGAAAGATTATAATTTAATAACAGTATTTTGTGCACATATTACATTGTAAATATATAATATAAGATCGGAAAATTTTCATGTAAAATTTTTATACGGGAAAAATACGGGAAAAAAATATATAAATAAGTGTGATATTCCTATAGATTTTTTCTAATATTATGAATATTCTTACTTTTTAATTGTTTACTAAATCCGGTTATAAATATCTGTTATATAAGAAAATAAAAAAGAAAGCAATTATATAAAGTTTTTATAAAAATAAGTTATATATAACTCTTTTTTTTTTATTTTCAATAATATTTTTATTCATTATATAATAAAAACAGAAATTTATAATATAAATTATCTTACATTTGTAAATGTTAGGTTTGTTCATCACATAGTATATAGAATTTAGAAGTTCTATGATTATTGGGAAACAAAATTCAGCAATTCAGCAAAGTTTATACTTGTAAAAAAAATTTTTTCTTATATTATTTTATAGTTTTTTTTAATAGTTATTTTAGTTTTATTTAAACTACTAAATTACAATTTAAAATTATAATTGAAAAATTAATTTAAAAATAAATTTAATTTTTTTGTTTATAATTTTTTTTAATTATATAAACAATTACAAAATATTTTATTAGATAATATTTCTCATATTTCATTAAAATAAATATTTCCTTAAAATAAATAACTCTTGTCTAAAAATTTTTTTTTTATTTTTTTATAATTTATAAACTATTATACGAAATCAAAAAATAACTAAATTTTAATCTTAAAATGAATTTAGACAGCAAAAAAAAATCTGTCAAAGAAATATTTGAAATTTATTAATTCCAAAATCATATAACCTTGTTAAATTTTTTTGATATTGAGTAATGCTATTTCGTTCTTTCACTAATTGGATATTATTTAGATTATCTAAATAAAGAACATTAAAAGAATTACCATTATCATTTTTTGGATAAAAAAATTATGAAGATTACCGAAGAGATATTTTCATTATATGTATCTATTGCCTGAACAATCTTAATCTCTATCTATGATTTTTACTAATTCTAACTCTTAAAAAGATTTTCACATCAGAATTTATTGTGTCAAGACAATGTTTTTTTGTAACTCTATTTCTTGATTATACCAAGTGCATTTTCGAATTCATTTAATAACTCTGTATATAAAGTATACGAATATCATAGCAATATCAAAGTTGATAAGTATTGGAAGTTTTTGAATTTAAAAAGTG